TATTAACCTAAAATCAGTTCTGATATAGCTGTTTTACTAACCTGACAGCTTATTATTCTAAATAGGAAACCTTCATTTTGTTTGCAAATAATATTAAAGATTCTAATTACCAGCAAGAATGAGTCCTTACATTTAAAGAGCGCCTGTCATTTCAGATCTATCGTGGCAGTGCCTGTTAGCGGGCATCCACTCACCTGCTGCTCGCTACGTCCCTCACCTTGTTGTGTCACTGCCGCATCACCAGCCATTCCATTAAAATGAATGGGACTGTCGATGAGTCAACAGCGGGTCAGAGGAGCCGCTGCAGGACAGAGATGACAGTTGCTCTTTAAAAATTCTTATTTAAATCGACTTGATTTAAATCAAGCCTTTTTACTCGTGATTTAAATCGTGATTTAAATCAAATCCATCCTGATAACAGTAGTTAGAATTTTTGTATGTTTCTCTTCCTCAGCATTTTAACAGACACATTCTTTTTCCTACATTTTGTAAAAGGTACAGAAACGTTTTAAAAAGGAAGATTTTTTTTCTGGTGTCACATTAGGATTTGCCAAAAACTAATTACATATTAATTTTACCTTTCTTAAAAAGCAATCATGTATTAGTGGCAAGCATGCATTTCTCCCCCAAATCCTCTGTGAACAGTAGGAAAATTAGGAAGTAGTGATTATGATGTATAATACTAAATAATTAAGATTCAGTATGATATATGAAACAGGTATAAAGAATAAAATTTCTGAGAAAAGATTGAAGAAGATACACCTTTAAAATCTCTTTCATGTGTGCCAAAAGAATGAATTAATGGTTTCAAAAGGAGAGGTTGTGAAAAAAAGACCACACTTCAGAACAGAAGTGCAAGGCCTATGACCGTGGTGACGAGCCTATGGCACGAGTGCCAAAGGCAGCACTCAGAGCCCTCTCTGTAGGCACGCATGCCATTGCCCCAGTCCTCGGCCTTTAGCTGGGTTTTATAAAACCTTTTCGCTTTAGGCCTCCGTCACCATGTGCATAAAAAAAAAAGGTTCAATCAATCAATTTCAACTTCTCGCAGGGAAAAAAAAGATCTCGCAAAGTTGGAATTGATTGAACTTTTTAGTCCCACCCAGTCTGCCGTTACCACCGCAGCCATGGCTACCCAATGGGCCATGCCCACCCAAATGGGCACACCCACCCACCCAGCAGCTGACAATACATAAGTGGGTTTTGGGTTGCAGTTTGGGCACTCGGTCTCTAAAAGGTTCGCCATCACTGGCCTATGAACCACCATTCATATTATGGTCTTCAGAAAATTTCTGGATTATGTTGATTTTTCATTTTATTTCAACTGCAGTAAGGGTCAGAATAATTATATCAAGCCTCTGTGAGTGTTAATGCATTGATCCTGTTCCTTGAATTGTCATGAGATAGCAACTCAATTCAGAATCTGCTGAAGAAAATTGACTATCTTTGTTATAGGTTGCCTGTTTCTTTTGTAAGTGGAATTGTAAAGGGAGAAAAATATTCAAAGCTAGTTTTTTGAAGAGTTTATTATTACTATAGTACCTGTCTTAAATCTAAACTTGTTTTTACTTAATGTTCTAGAATACAACACAGATAGCATTCCCTTCAAAATCTTGTGAGCTTTGCCATGACAATTTCAAGGCCAGGAGTTATGTTTGTTTCTGCAATGATACATATGCAGATTTCAATTGAACATACTGAAACCTATGGGATTTTAGCTTTTATCAACAGGCTAAATATATTGGGCCAATATATTCTGATTCTTTTATTGAAAAGTGCTTTATATTCTTACTTTTTGTCAATATGTTCTAAAACTTATTAAACTATAAATTCTTATGCATTATTATAATCAGATTTTTGATGTTCTACAGCTTTATTGTACATCAGAATAGTAAATCATCTATCACTGAAAATAACATAATTGAGATTGTAAATTCATTGTAGAGACATATGGTTCAACCAAAAGTATTTTTTTCTCAGTTCCATTGATAATAATAGGAAAGAGAATCCCTCTAATCAGACTGAGCTGAAAGCTATTTTAAGAAATTTATTTATTTTTCTTATTTTTACGATTTAATATTTCTTTAAATTCATTTCTTCCCCCCCCCCCCCATAAACTATTCACTTGGGAAGTTTCTCGTGTTTATTTTTTGAGAGTTCATTTAAGATAAAATCCCAAATGTTGCGGAGAACACAAAATATAGATTTCATCCCGGGGAAAGATTTATGAATACTGAATTTCTAAAATGTTATTTTTTTCTAATCTGTGATGCAAGATTTTCATTCTAATCTGTGATGCAGCATGCTTCATTCCCTTCTAATGTTTTTTTTTTCCAAAAGCAAAGAAAGTATGGATGGTCTGGCAGTTTCGGGAATTTCTCCTTCACCTGCAATTGTTTTTTTTAATGAGGAGCTTCTTAGTTATGGGTAGAGGTTCTGCAAGGAAAATGTAGAAAAAAAACTTCCTAGCTCCGCAATATTGAACTAAATTGGGGCAATTTAAGATTATTGTTTACCTACAATTAAAGAAATAGAGTATTGTTATATTACCTACTCTTTCTACAGTAGTGTAAAATTTTGGGCATTGCATATTTTCCTTTATGTATTGATATCTAACCATCCTACTGTGATGTGTTCTATAAGGGACTTGCCCCAAGCCTTGAAAAAATTAGCAGTTTCAGAAAATGGCAGCATGGATAACACCATATTTCTAGGACATAAACAATTTGAATAAATGCATTTGCTTTTTTAGATTATAACAGAGCTTACTAACCGCGCCCACCCCATTGCCGGCAATGGAAAAAAGGTCATGATACATCATGACACGTCATTTGACATTGCGAGTTTGACACCCTTGTACTAGATGATTAGAAAGCTTGTACCAAATATACAGCTGACTTTTAAAAAAATGATAATATGTTCATGTGAATGAAGTATGTAAAACTACAGCTAACATTGCTATGTTGTGTTCTTAAAACATATCACTATAGTACTTGGTCATAATACAAAAAATATGACAGAGAAGAAATACCCAGTTATACCTCAAGATGTGCATTTCTCTGAAGTCCTAGCATTTTAATATGGGCAAATGTTTCAGAGATTCGTTTTTCAAAACTTGGTTATGTGTTGCAAATATATATTTACAGGTTGGATATGGTTCTACTTTCTGTACATGAGTGAACTTATAATTCCCGAAGCAATTGCTCGATAATAAGATTATCTCAATCTTTATGCTTGTGTAAAAATCATTGGGATTGCAAGAGATCTCTTATTTGCCTTACCAACTGAGAGCATCCATTGAAAAGTTTTATGATCTCTATGTGCAACGTTGAGCATCTTACACCTGGGGTCTGTATCTTAATTTTATATTTGTCCAAAGTTATGTTTTTTTAAGACGAAGAGTTAAATGTTAGCTCCCTTATTGTTACATAAATGCTAACATTATTTGTTCTATAATTGTTTAGCACACAATTACCATTAAATTTGCAGAAACACCTCTTTACTGTAAAACAAAGTTTGTACAATATTAGAGACAAGTAATTTCAGAAAACAGTTATACATTTTTGCATTTCACATTTTAGCACAAATAATTTGTGTGCATCTGTGTATACACACACACCACACAATGACCCAATTTGGATTAGTAATTAAGGAACTAGATTAGAAACTGAGACCACAAATTTTAGTCGTGAAGTCAATAGTGTCACCTTGTGCCAGTCACCCTCTATCAGCCTACGAAGAAGGCAATGGCAAACCACTTCCAAAAACATGCCAAGAAAACTGTAGAGACTAGTCCAGGGAATGAACACTGTCTTGAAGCTGCAAATAAATACCCAGTTATATATGCATATATTATTTAGTCTAGTACCCAAGTGCATTCTACTGAAATACTGAAATCCAGTGATACATTAATAACTCTATGTAACCTGTTTAATATAAGCACATAATACAGGTAGTCCTCGACTTACAACCACAATTGAGCCCAAAATTTCGATTGCAAAACGAGACACTTGTTAAGTGAGTTTTACCCACTTTTACATTCTTTATTGCCACAGTTGGTAAGTGAATCACTGCAATTTATTAAGTGAATCTGGCTTCTCCATTGACTTTGCTTGTCAGGTTGCAAAAGGTGATTACGTGACCCCATGACTCTGCAACTGTCATAAATATGAGCCAGTTGCCAAGTATCCAAATTTTGATCATGTGACCGAGGAGATGCTGGAAAAGTTGGAAGTGAGAAAAAGTCGTTTACTTTTGTCAGTGCTGTTGTAACTTTGAACGGTCACTAAATGAAGGATTGTAAATTGAAGACTACCTGTAAACAGAGTTTGTTCAATAAAAAAAGATTGTTTCTAGTATGAAATTCTTTATATTATTATATAAAACCTTCAAATTGCAGATAAGCTATTTCCAAAAATTATTTTGATAATTTGATAAATACTGGTTAGACTGCTAAATTTCTTCAGTTTCTTTAAAACAGTGGAACACCCCAATTTTTCAAGGAACATAACGCCTCATTTGAATTTTGTACCTAAATGAAAATGTTCAATGCTTTCATATACTTTTTAACATTTTTTAAGAGTTTTGGTGCAAAATCTGTGTAGGATATTGCTTTATATAATCAGTGGTAATGACTCTGCTTTGTTTGTATGGATACTCTTTTATAAGTTTTGTAGAGGAAGGATCATGTTTGTTGGCCATACTATCCTTTAAGTGATATTAGATCCAGGTAAAATAGAACAATAGCTGCAGCATCTTACATGATTGCAATAAATGATGTTTTGTTTAACATTCGTCAATCTTTCTCAAAATATTTTCTGGAATTAAAAGAAAGTAGGTAATTGAAAGTATGAGTATTCAAGTATTTTATATTTTTAGACGTAATAGATTGTTCAAATTTAATTATTTTAAAGAAAGCTTTAGTCATTCTGTATAGACAAGAATGAACAGTATACCATTATATATATTTAGTTTTATAAATGTATTTTTTCTGTTTTCAGAAGGTCCTTATGGAATATTTGCTGGAAGAGATGCCTCAAGGGGACTAGCAACTTTCTGTCTAGATAAAGATGCACTCAGAGATGAATATGATGATTTATCGGACTTAAATGCTGTGCAAATGGAAAGTGTTAGGGAATGGGAAATGCAGTTTAAAGGTAATTATTTTAATTGAAAGATTTATTTTCATCAAATGGAAAACAAGCCATAGAAATACACCTCAGTGTTTTTAAAATTAGTATATACACATCTTGCTACAAAAGTGGTGACTTCTCTTTTACAATAGAGTAATTCAAGTATGTGTTTGTGTGTGTATGTATGTATATTTATATATAAAGAAATAATAGGAAGACAACTTTACTAGATTTCTATTATCAGGTACAAAAAAGCCCAAAACCCACACATCAAGAGATGAAATGGGATATAGAAGAAGTTTTATTATATACTGTCTTCATAACTTGTCACAGCTGCAAGTAAGACAGGGATTTTTTATTTTTTTTACCAGTAGGAACTTTCCCCATCATTCTTATGACAGAGATTTCTACACTGGGGCGCAAAATTAATCTTTTGAGAATGATACTAGAGAAGTGGGACATATCCTATATTTCCCATTCCATTCCCTTACATCACAAAGATCTGCTTTTAAAGCTTTCAGAGATAGCAATGTGTTTTTATCCTTGTATCTGAGTCAATTAATAACTCAGAGGTCTGTGCAATCTCAATTTATTCCTTAAAGAAAAGCTGGAAGCTTCTGTATCCTCTGTGTTAATACGATCCCACTAGCTGATCTAGATCCCTGCATTGCTTTCATGTGGAGTTGCTAAAGGAGAGCATGTAATATTTTCTTTACACTGACAAAAACTGATGGTCACATGTCTTTGGAACATAGTGCCTTTTCATTTTAAAAGTGCATTTTGCAATACAAAAACAGATGCATTACTTCAAGAAAATAGACTGTAACAAGACATCCATGAAATTAATTTATACATTTATGATGGCTTTGAAACAGCAAATGTAATAAATAGTATGATATCCACTGGTTTTTAAAATATGTATTATAATATATTTTGTCTTTTCCAGAAAAATATGACTATGTAGGTAGACTTCTAAAGCCAGGAGAGGAACCATCAGAATATACAGATGAAGAAGATACCAAGGATCACACTAAACAAGATTGAACTTTGTAAATCACCAAAGTTAGGGGCCTTTGGAACTGTAATCTTTTATTCCCCATCAAAGAATGTCCTATACCTTGGATACACTTCATCTACTACAGAAAATGATTTGTTTTATATATGATCCTTTCCTGATGAAGATTTGATTTGATTAGTAGGCATTCTTTGTGCTGCCAAACATTTATTCTTTCTTTATTCCTTTTTTTTTTTGCAATGTATCTATGTCTGGTAAGGCTTCATTAATGGGGGCCAGGGATTTAAAATGCAAAGAAAGTAATTTCTTGCAGCATGTTGAAGCCTTTGAACAGTTTGTTATTTACAGGCTTATGTGTTTCATGTGTAATTTCTACTCTTTGAGCTCTAAATGGAAAACCTAGTTCTTTTAAGGAATCCATAGTTAACACAGCGGCTGAAACATAAATGGGACTGCTCAGACAGTAAACTACTTCAGAGCTCTGCAGATTACATAGTTTCAAATAAAATTCTCTAAAGGATAGAAGAGAATTTATTTGCAGACATTATCATCTGAAATCTGCCTTCTATGCTTGTTTTTCCCCTGAATCAAAATATTTGTGCCTTATTTCACTTAGACTTGAATTGTTTTAGAGGAAAACCCAAAATATGAGTCACTAAAAGCAGCATTGAAGATTGGCTAGAACAGTCAGTTAACTGGAACAATTGATGTCATTTTGTATATAGAATATAAAGAAATACACAGTGTTATATATATAGATATATAGATATATATATAAATAATGTGTGTGTGTCTGTATACATACACATGCAAACTTTAAAGAGTGTAATGGCCAAATGCATTCTCCCTTTGCTTTTTAAATAAGCTCAATTAGTATTTTTTCCATCCCCGGGGAGCTCCTTAAAGATGAGGAGCCTAACCTCATATCATTGTGAAATGAGGCTATGCATGGATGTGCGTGCTTGAGTACAAAAAGTGGGAGGATGGTTCCTACAGATACTGTAAATACAAATACAATTTTAATAAAGCATGTAAAATACCAAATGTGCTGTCGGACTTTATGTAGATGCTGAAAAGCTAGTATTGGTGGCTAGGACTTTTGTGTTTCAGAAGAAAAAAAATGATTTAATATTTTTGCACTGTATTATATAAACCATTGGCCAGATATTTTTTAATAATTTCATCATTAATTGTAATACATAAAATACAACAGTTTTGGTGAATAAAAACAGTGGCATATATCTGCATAGAACATATATCTGAAAATGCTTTAGTGAATATGTCATTCTCCTTTCCTAGCCTATTAACTGCATCACTTCTTTTATTTTTTTGATATAGCAAGTACTTTTCTTCCAGGTTTTGCAAACTAGTCAGAACACTAATCCAGTTGTGGCATCCAGCATTAAAAAGAAAAAACATGCAATAAAACAGTGAATCTGGCAAGAGGGAAATGTGATCTTCAGTCCATCTGTTAAGAGTATTTTCCACAAAGACATGTGAAAAGTATCTGGTTCCAAATGACCAAATAGTTCTGGCCTTTATTCAGGTTGGATTGTAAATGGTGATTATTGATAACAGTGTCTATAGAAAAATACTGTTCCTCCCTTTTTTTGATGTGAATCTTTTGTTGCATTTATTTTAATGTCTAAGCCTCCATTGATCAGCCAGTTATAATTCTTCCACTCCAAAATTTTATTCTATAATTGAAATTATGCGATCTGTTTTGAGAAATGAACAATTTGTGTTCTTTTATATAAAAAATAAAGTGTTCTGTAGATATATTGTTAGTGTGTTGTACTTCTCATTTCCTTATAGAGAAACAGTATCTTAAGGAAATCTTGGGCTCATTTGAGGTAGACATAGTGTTTTTTTCTGTTAATGATTTTTATTTGGGGTTATTTTATAATTGTTCTTCATGCTGTTTTGCCCATTTTAATATGTGCATTTGTGCAGACAATGAATGTTGTGCTTTTAAAATGTATTGACAGTAATTTTGTTAGGCTTCACTTTGCTTGGCATCTCTGAAGGCCCTCTGCTCCAGCCATTATGCACATTTCTTCACATATATCACATCCTCACATAATGAATTAAAAATAGATGTCTAAAGTGTGTAAACAGACTGCTGAATTTCCTTTAGGAGGAGATTTTAAGAGCAAAGGGTAATAACAGGAATCCTGGAAGTTGAACTATTTCACATTTTTAAGTTGCCCAATTTCTCAATTCTTGGTGGTGGTGTACAAATGTAAAATCAAAGAAATGCAACATCAAACTAATGAAAAAAGCAAGATGATAATCCTAGAAATAAAAACATCTACAGCCCATTTTAACTCAAAGAGTGAGGAAAAAGCCAGGTTTTCAAGACTTATTTATAATGGAGAGTGAGGTAAGGACCACTCAAATTTCCAAGGCAATGCTGTGACAGAAAAGACATACCTATTGCGTCCTGGCTACATTGTTCAAAAGATGGGATGCAGAACATGCCAAGTCAAATCTTACAGGGTGGGCAGAGACAGTAAGACATGGTTTCTCTAAATAACTATACCACATGCTATAAGAACCAGGGGTTTGTAGGTAATAACCAGCACTTTGAATTACACTTGTAATACTGCTACTAACCAGTGCAGTTTGCAAAGTAGAATAATGGAGATGTTTCACTACTGAATTTAGCAGATAATTTTAATGGTTTGTTTCATGTTGCCTTTAAATTGATACCAGCCCTGAAGCCCCTCCCAGTTTTAGTGCTACGTGACCTTACTCTGGCATGAATATAACTGCTATCATTGCCACTTCTTGATCGGCTTAATTTTCCAATTGGTCTTCAAGGATAGTCCCTCTCTAAGGTAATAAGGCATGAATGATCATGAGAAAGGCCTCCTGGTTTGGGAATGGGTGAAATGACACAAGGTAAGTTGAGCAAAGACCTTCCTAGCTACAGTTGCCATTTTTTTGAGCAGATGCGAAAGACCTCCACATTACACACCAGTTTTGCAACCCCATTCACAGCTAGAAGTGGAAAAATGTCCAGAACGGGTGGTCAATTTTCCCAAGCGGCCATATGAGAAATGGACTGTTGTGGAGGGCTGCTGCTACCCTGCCTCCCACTCTGATGCTGCCCTGCTCACCACTGCCCCCCCCTTCTGACACCACACAGATGCTCTGCCCTATGGGCCAGATTGGAACCACCCACAGGTCAGATGTGGCCTGTGGGCCATAAAATGCCCAGATCTGATCAGAAGGCCCATACATCCCAGCCATGGATACTATGAATAGTAAATTTATATGCCCCTTGGACCCTAATTTCTTCAAAAACAGTGCCAAGTTTATGTGCTGTCTTTTAAAGAAAAAAGGTCTAAACACGTGGTTGTATTTTTTACAAAAAATCTTGAATATGATTTCCTTATAGTTTGTATGCTGTTTCAATCCTGGAAACCTAGTGGCTCAAGGATGATCAGATGTGTTAATTCTCATCAGCAAAAATATTTCAATTAAATGGTTTTCTTACAGTCACTAAAAAAACCCCTACCTAATGTGATTGTATACTGTATGGCCCAGTGCATCCCATAATATGTGTATTTCTTTAGGCAGTTCTTTTTTTATAATTCTACAGTTCTTTCAATAGCTGTAAATCCAAATGATTTAAGAAGTTGGCTATTGCAATTTCCTTGGACAAATATGGCACCATAAATAGATTTTTCAGGAGACGCCACAGTCATTCCCAACAGAAGTTCACAAGAAGCATTTCCAGAATTTGCCTATGAGCAATTTTTCTATGAAAAATTACCCAGCTACTGTTCATTTTATGAAACCTTGCCTATCAAAAGCTGTGAGGAAACCTAGGCCATTTGCTCATGTACAACTGCCAAATGATTATTTTCAGCAACAAAAAATCCAGACACTTCTGTGATCCTTTATTGCTAATCTTTTTTTATGGAATAAATGTTTAGTTTATGTATTTAAAACAACTTTTATTGAAGCATATACCTAATGTTCAGGTATATTAATTGAATATATGTCACATGAACATTTTGCTAGAAAATTTAAGCACTTTAACCCTTTCTACCCAATACAGAAATAAAAATTGATTTCAAATGTTCCCCCTTTGATAAGCCCATCAAATCGGTAGAGGCAATCATTTTTAACCAGGTGAGTGTATCTTTTTGAGGGATTTTTTTTTCTTTTTGTGACCAAGGGATTGTTAGGGAAATGACTGGTGACATGTTACTGGAGTGGGTGGGGGCAAATATTTTCAGTCAGATTCTTTGTGATTTGGGAGATGAGCCATGTTACTTTTTAATTCCCTTTACAACCTGGAAATTGGGAGGGGGAGTATGTAGGATCTTTGGAGTTTCAAATAATGTAAAAGTATGCATTTATAGCTTAGAACCCCTAACCCAGTGATGGCGAACCTTTTAGAGACCGAGTGCCCAAACTGCAACCCAAAACCCACTTATGTATTGTTGGGTGCCGGGTTGGCGTGGCCCATTGGGTGGGTGTGGCCCACTAGGTGGGCGTGGCTGCGGTGGTAACAGCAGACTGGGTGGGACTAAAAGGTTCAATCAATCCCAACTTTGCAAAATCTTTTCTTTTCCTGCGAGAAGTTGAAATTGATTGAGTGATTGAACCTTCTTTTTTTTTGCAAACGGCGGCAAAGGCCTAAAGCGAAAAGGATTTATAAAACCCAGCTGAAGGCCAAGACTGGGGCGACAGTGCACATGCCCACAGAGAGGGCTCTGCGTGCCACCTGTGGCACCCGTGCCATAGGTTCGCCACCATTGCCCTAACCCATCCATATCTATAACCTGCAGTCTGATCTTTCTTGCAGGGACTTTTGGGGGTCATGGATTGTTCAGAGACCATTCACATAAATTCCAGTTTTAAAAAAAGGATGAATCCCATTTTTTATTCAGATATTTTTGATTTTGATCCTTAAGCACATAATTGTTAAGAAGCTAGACAACTATACAACTATAATCCACCCTAATATTAGCTAACAGACTGCAAACTGCTAAAGAAAAGGAAAGAGATGAGGATCATCATCTTGTGATTGTTATATACTTTCCTGCTGAATATGAAGAAAATACTGTAATAGATAATGGTAGAAGAAGTTAAGTAAAAACTATTTCTATGTTATACTTTATATAAAAAGATAATTGTGTGTAAAATTGTCTTACACTGGCAGCATTCCATGTATTATATGTCTTCAATATTAGAATTAGAATTTTAATTTAAATTAGATCTGTAGGGCAATATATAGCAAAAAGAGAGAAAGTAGTGTCTTGGCTATTTGAACTTGAAAGGTAAGGAATTAGAAGTCTATTTAAATATCGCCTGTTTATTGGACCTCATGAGAGCCAATAAATTTGTGTTTATCCCAGGCAAGATAAATAGTGAATAGTATTCATAACATTTTGAAACTAAGATATCTAAAGATTGTCATCCACATAGTTTTCATCTTAGAGAAATACAGTAAAAAGAGCATTCTCAATGGTATTCTAATTTTGGAATACCTTGCTCTAACCTTTTATTTCATTGTACCTTGTAAATTCAATATGACTTATTTTCTCTTTGTTTGTATGTGTTCATGTTACTTTTAATACAGTCTCCCTCTTGTTATACAGTATTATATTTTTATAAAACATCACCAGAATTTTGATTCAAAAGATAGATATTATTTTTTTAAAAAATCAGCAACAAGATGTTGTAGTTTGGATGTTGGAAAATAGTATCTACACGCATCTCTTATACACAAAGCAACTGTCTGCATCCAAGCCATAGTAAAGGATACAGTAGAGGGAGGAAAAATAATTCTAGAACCTTGGTAACATCTGAATAAGAGCTGAGCATTTTCAAAATTTATAATACTCAATGTAAGAATATACTTAGAAAAGTCTCTTCTATCCCATTTCACTCCTGTTATCATTTGGATAACAAAACAGTTTTGTTACTGAAACTGAAGCTAATATTTGTTATGGCCTCTCATGTGATTCTAAAAATATAATTAAGAACAAATTTAATTTACATAGTTCAACTTCAGAGTTTCATTTCTACATTTCATTTCATTGAAAATTTTGGAGAACATGAATAATACTGCCAACAGGATATATAACTAACTTGAACAATGGGCAATTCATCTAGTGCAGTGATGCTGTTGAACTATCAGTAGTCCTTACCCTTGAATCTGTAAGAATCATAGCACAAAAACATCTGGAAAATCATAGATTCTTTTTCGTGATCTTTCACAATCATGATCATGATAGTCAACATTATTTTAATTTATTGCTATAAACAGTCCCACACATTTCAATTCAGAATAGTAAAAATTTATCATACTAAATTAAACAAAACTGCTTAAGAACACATACTACACCATAGGCTTTTTTTTTGTATTTTTATAAAATCTGCAAATATACCACAAAAAATGCATACTAAAAGCTAATATTCACACATTTGATTTAAAGAAATGAATGTAAATATAATTCTTTTATATACAGCTTAAATCCAAATTTACAACTGCATCATTTTCATGGAGGAGGTGGCATAGATTGAACAGAGATATGAGTTGTAGAACTTCAGCAAACTGAAAAGATGCTATATAAAACTGGTATCATGAATTCCTAGTGTCTTCAAAAAATAGAGCAGTTCTTAAAGGCTAAGCTTCCATTAGAAATAGCTGGGAAATCCACTTATCTTCATATTAAATATGCACATATATTCATAATTGTTAAATTCAGATTCTCAAGCAATATTTCAGGACTATATAATGGACTTCATATAGTTTCCAGCACAGAAATCTACATGTTGGATCACTTAGAGTATTTCCCAGCAATAAGGCATCAACAGTAATAGGCTTTATTTGTGAAAGTAACCTGAAGACTGTTAAGTATCTGTTTTGCTGTATCTAATACAAATGCACCTATTTCTACCACTTCTATTTTATGGAAGAATGATTTCCATTCCCTTATTTTAAGTATTTAAATCACAATAACTACAATTAGTTATTTCAGGGATGCTTCCTTTTAATTTTCACCTCCTGACATAAATAATGTATATTCAATGAATCATTTACATTTAAAGAAAGTGACACTTTGGCCAATTACAGTACAGTTGGTCTTAGGTAAAATAAGGGATTTTAACCATATTAAAGCCATTTTGACATTAATTATTTTAACCTAAGTACATTTTCTTCTAAATCCCTTTTAAATTAAAACTGTGTCAAATACAATTAAATGGCTTAAATAATCTCTCCTAGAAATGCAAGTCACTTATACAATAAAGAAATTAAACAGAAAAATACAACTATTTCTTCAAACTGGAGGATGATCAGAGACCTATTTGAATTTTTCTCTTTTTTCTTAAACTTATATATATATATCTATATATAAAATTTACTACGTTTATGACAATACAGTCATAATCCATCCTCTTTGCAAACTACTTTGCTTAAGTAGAAATAAGAATCAGCATTAAAAAAATTTTAAACAAAACAACCTGTGCCTAAATTAAAAACTCAAACTCAACTCAAAACCCTGAAACAAAAGAAACAGAAAGCAAAATGGATTTCAGAACTAGTATTGGAAGAGTATGTTATTACTGAAAAATGCATTTATCAATTTAAATGCATGTATTATGTATATCTCTCAAAAATATTTTCTCTTTTTGGCTTTTATAGGTAGAACTAATGATAGAAAACCTAATGGTAAAACATTCCTACACTACAAAAAGAATACAACTTCCTCAAAAAAATATGAGCTGGATTGTAAGACATTCCAAAGTATTTATGTATATACTATTGGAATGCTGCTGCTGTAAACAGTAACTTGGGATAGCAACACAGACTAACAGGTATTTCCCAAGGATTTCTCATGATGCTTGAACCCAATATAATTGAAGAAAGGGAATTTACTTGGAATTTAATCTTGTCAGAAAGCAGATGCAATTTT